CACAAAACGCGAATGCATGTTATCATTACCAAAATGTTGCATATTTCAGACAAGTTATGGGGGAGCTATAATCAGGATAACAAGTGTTTCATATAAAAAAAAAAAAATATTTCAAAACTTTAATTAAAGCGCGTCTTTATTTCCCTAACTTCGGCAGCCACTGGCTAACACTAGCGAGGCTTGATGGACGCAAAATTAATCCAGACACCGGCGGAGAGTTTAATCCAGCAGTATCTTCGCGATTATCGCCTCCTAACAATAAAAAAAAATACTTATATATGCCCAGAGTTGACGCGTTGTCTTCCATCTTCACACTTTCACTGCCTCTAAGAAGTTTGTAAATATCCCTTGAAATGGATTCGTGTTTAGAGTTTTGAACACATTTTAGTTATCAAGTAATCAAGTTACCATGATTTTGCACATATAGGAAAATATTATGTCATAAAACAATTAAAATATGGCCAAATATTAATTCAAAAATACAGACGGAGCTGTAGTTGAATTATATATGGCAAAATATTACAAATGACCTCATGTTTGTTTCACTTTTATTTGCGTTGCCGGAGTTTTTTTCTATGTTGCTGAGGCTCGCTTAACTGGTGCATGACGGCTTGAGCTCAGCTTCAGCTGAAGAGCAAGCCGACATCAGCTGAGTTTGCACGAAGTACCATCCTTGTACCTAAAATACGGGACTTTATCAGCACGTAAAATTTAACAATAGCATTTTTCAAACTTGCGTTTAACTGTTCAGTCAAGGAAATAACTGCCATCTGTCGTAACCAGAGAAACAAGCGAGAAGCAAAGGAGAAATAACAGTACATCAAACCCGGCAAACAAAGAGGTCCTTTTTTCAACGACAACATTTTTCCTCCATATTCTATAGTTATGAGTCATGTGGCCGTCGAAAATGTCCACGGTCTAGAGCAGCAGGTAAGCCGAGTGAGTTTATTGTGTCTTGCAGGGTGAGTTGATGAAACGTTATAACGCCAGGGATAAATGTTAGCTCTCCGGCTAGCCTAGAAACACCGCTAACGAGATGCTATCGTGCTAACCAGCGTTGGGTGCGCTTCAATTCTACACTCGCGTGACCGAGAGCGGCTGCGGAGAGGGGGGCGAAATGTACGACGTTAAAAACAGTTTTAGCTCCTCTGCCCTTTGACTCTTGTTTAATAGCTATATGTGTTACACCAAATAGTTGTTGAAAATTATTTAAGAAACCCATAGCCTTGCAGTTAATGTGATAGTTAGCTTATACTGCGGAAAAACTGTTCGTTACAACTGAGAGCGAAATGACCAATTACGTCCGAGTGCTTCTGTCGACTTTCCCGTGTGAGCATATGAAACGCACCCTTTTAACTATTCTCTTCACTGCGTTTGTGTTGCAGCGTGATACCAAAAAATGGAGGTATGCGGTGATGGAGCTAGCGGGACTGACACACAAACAATGCGGTGTTTGACAGTTTAGCCCACCGGCTTTCAGATAATGCGCAGTATTGCACAGTTTTCAAGCTTCTCTTGACTGCGTCCCGCTTTAAAAAAAAAAAGGCTCATTTCTTCTGCGTCACCAGCAACGTAGTCTAGCTGTGTCTGACTGGTCAGACAGTTGGATGGCAACAGAAAAGTACTGTATGTTCTCAATTGATATTTTGGACGGATAATTGACAAAATGTCTACGAGAGTGTTGCAGGGTGCGCAACACTGACCTCATTTAAATAAATTACACTTCCTCCTTTTGAGTCAGGGGGCGAAGAAATCTGCACTGGGGAGATTTTTTATGTAGAAATCAATCCCTGTCATTAGCCCAGTTCATTAAATGTGATGCAGTGTTGAAGAGCCTTAAAAATTCAGTTTCTGCAAATGGTTTCTCTGCCTGGAGAAAGCCGGACGCACCAACATCAGATCTTTTGCCTCATCACTTTGCTATCCTTTGTTGTAAAGTATCTCAGAGCAGCTGTGTGCAGTTTGCTGACCTCACCATAATAGGATTTCTGCGTGTTGAGTGTGTGTGCTGAAATTAAAAAGAGCAACAAAACATTTCTGTGTTCTATTCTCTTCCATCCGGACAGTTGGGCTCCTGTCGGTGAGCAAAGCTTTCGCAGCTCGTTCTGACGGATAAACAAAATGAGGTTGTCTACTTTTAGTCTTCAAGTAGGCGGCAGGTTTTGCTGTCACCTGCAGCTAGAAGAGGCGCTCCGAAGCCTCAAACATGTCCAACAAAGCCAGACCCTTTGTTCCTCTGAAAATAACTTGTGTGTCTCTGTTTTCCAGCTCGCTGTCCTAGACTTGAGTGCAGCGGACGGACAAGGTGGAGGCACTAACAGTAAGCAACCAACGTGTTTTTGTTAGAAATGTTCAAACGTTCCATTTTCTCTTGCCAGTGAGTGACACTCACACACCTCCACAAGTAGTAAACCATGGCGATAACACTGGGTCATAAAGACAGCAAACGAGGAAGTGCTCCATAGAGAATAAGTTGGGAAGGACAGGAAAGTTGACCGCAAGGCAACCAAGGGAATATCTTTTATTTCCT